CCCGTGCGCGCTCCCGCGGCCCCGCTGACCTGGAAGGCGCGCCGTGCCCGCGCGTCGTGCGCGTCCCCGCGGAGCCAGGGCCGGCGGGGCTCGGGGAAGCGCGCTCCCGTCAGGCTCGCCCCCAGCGTGTCGATGTAAAAAAAAGCGAAATCGCCGCCCGTGAGCCCCGAGAGCTCCGCCTGCAGCAGCAGCGCCCGCAGCGTGTCCGGGGCGCAGCACAGGTACACCACTGGGGGAAAGAGACCCCAGACTCATCCTGAGACCCCCGAGAGACCCCCAGAGACAGCCCCAGACCCACCAGAGACACCCCAGCACAGGTACACAACTGGGGAGGGGGAAAAAGAGACCCCAGACTCATTGTGAGACCCCAGACTCATTGTGAGACCCCAGACTCATTGTGAGACCCCAGACTCATTGTGAGACACCCAGAAACACCCCCAGCACAGGTACACAACTGGGGGAAAAGAGACCCCAGACTCATTGTGAGACACCCAGAAACACCCCAGACTCATTGTGAGACCCCAGAGAGACCCCCAGAAACACCCCCAGCACAGGTACACAACTGGGGAGGGGAGAGACCCCAGACTCATTGTGAGACACCCGAGAGACCCCAGACTCATTGTGAGACACCCGAGAGACCCCAGACTCATTGTGAGACCCCCGAGAGACATCCAGAGACACCCCCAGCACAGGTACACCACTGGGGGAGGGGAAAAGAGACCCCAGACTCATCCTGAGACCCCCAGAGACCCCCAGAGATACCCCCAGAGACCCCAGACTCATTCTGAGACCCCAGACCCATTCTGAGACCCCAGACCCATCCTGAGACCCCCGAGAGACATCCAGAGACACCCCCAGCACAGGTACACCACTGGGGAGGGGGGAAAAGAGACCCCAGACCCATTCTGAGACCCCCAGAGACCCCCAGAGACCCCAGACCCATCCAGAGACACCCCCAGCACAGGTACACCACTGTGAGGAGGGGGGAGAGACCCCAGACCCATTCTGAAACTGCACCATGAGAGGTCCAGAGACCCCAGACCCACCCAGAGACCCCAGACCCATCCTGAAACCCCAGAGACACCCCCAGAGACCCCAGACCCACTCTGGGACACCCCCAGAGACCCCCGCCCCAATTCCCGGGGGTCCCCCCACACTCTGGGGATCCCCGCTTATTTCACGATGTGGGGCTGAGCCCCCCCAACACCACTGTGAGACCCCCAGGGGTCCCGACCCCTCCGTCCCCCCCCGCCCCGT